ACAAGAAAAACAAAAGAAGAGTGAGCTGTTAGGAATACAAGACAAGACAAGATAGAAGGTTTGGCAAATTTCAAAAAAACTAAAATAGACCATCTCCATCTCTAGATTTTCTATTGGAAACTATTTGAAATAATTTATCTTCTTTTAGGGTAGTGAAGGGACAGCTGAAGACAGATGTAGTCTGACTTAAGGTTAGAGAATATCCATTAGCTTAATTATACTACTGAGGACATAGACAGCATGTGTTTGTTTTTGTTACTTAGATTGTTAATTAATTAATAGTAGAAGCAGGCAGCAAAGTAAGTAGGGTGAAACTATTGTTTTAGTGTTATCAATCATATTTAGTTGATTAGTGATTTGACTAAATAATAACATACCATTGTTTCATTAGTCTAGGGTGATAATTGAGGTGGGTGGGCGGATGGTGACTCAACTTTTCATTAAAAAGCAAAAGCATCAAGCTCAAAGTGGATGTCTATTGGCTTCCACCATCAACATTCAACAATGACCCTTTGATCCACTGATAGCCTGATAGGAAGAAGAAGAAGAAGAAGATCATTAGGGACACATATTATTTTGTTGTTACCAAAGTAAACGAATTAATAATCATGTTTGACATTCTGCTTCCCTACATAAACCACTACTTATTGGTAAACAAACTTTGATAGTTAGTTTTATAAAGTAGTGGATCACAAACCAAAAAGAGTTGCTCACTGGTAGGAGGTTTGAATTTTTAATGTACGATTCATTTCTCATTCTTCCTTGTACCCATCACAAGGATGATGCATGCTTGCTCCATTTCAAAAGCGCGAGAGGTTTGAAACCTAGAATTTTAAGACCAATATATATCCATAAAAAATGATTTAACAACGATAAGTTTTCGAATTAAAAAAAATTAAAGTAGCGGATCACGACATCTTAATTTGTTGTGAAGTTGATGCACAAATTAGCGGTCTTTTCAAGCAAGCGACAAGATTATGACCCATTGAATCTTTAGCTATATTCCATGGCTCCATAATTCGTATATTAAAATCATAGTGATCAACATACTTTATGATCATTTTGATGAAACTGAATACAAATTGTTTGGACGGTAGGTCCTCAAGGAAGACTAATTCCGTAATTATGATCCTATAATAATAATAATTACCATCAAGACATATTCATAGTATGTCAGTACTAACCAAAAAGTACGAAGAATAAGTAATAAGTAATAACCATGAATGAAAAAAATTTAATAACCTTTTAGCTTTGTCTCACCAAGTACTTTTAATTATAAATTAACCCTATAATAATTATATCCAAAAAAAATTTAACTGGTCCCTCTAATATGACAAATAATTTAATAGTATGTCAGTTCTTGATGTTTTGTCAATAATTTAGTCCTTCTGTGTCTTTTTGTTAATGAAAGCATGAGCTGTAATAATACGGTGATTTTTATTTTTTTTAAAAAAAATTGTTTTTCAGCCTTTTTTTGCAGCTATTATTCTTTCTTTGGTTCTCAAAATACATGTTAAGATATTACAAGACACGCGACATGCTTTTAATTCCTATTAAAAAAATACATTGGTGTTTTTTTTTCCCATTTATATCTACTCATAATTAAAAATGTTTTGATTTTGTTCTTTAACAATATATATAGAACCGTAATTAGACATGTACAAAATAAGAGACTAATTGAAATTAAGTCAAAATTCATTCATATTTTGATTTTTGTTTCAAAAAACTTTTAGGCATGTCTTGATTACCATGAATGAAAAATTTGAAATGAAAATATAAAAATAAAAATAAAAATTAGAATAATATTCACATTCACATACTATATTTGAAATATTAATAAAAAATTTAAATAAAATTTAAATTTATTAATATTTAATTTAAGACAAATAAGAATGATACTTAAAAATATAATTTCATCAATTATAATGATGATAAAAATAATATAGGTGATTGTGGTATTAATGTTGATGCTAATAGTAGTAGTAGTAGTAGTAGTGCGAGAATAGGAGGATGTAATAGCAATATAATAATAACAATAATATATTTAAAAAAAAAATAGTACAAAAACCATAAGAGGTGAACCAAGTGACATTAAAAAAAAATAAAAAGATATTGGTGGTATAATAAAAATAACAGTAGTAGTAGAGAAAATATAATAATAATTATAGCAATTACTATTAATAATAATAACAATTTTTTTTTTCACAACATTGTCAATAGTGATGATTGTAGTGTTAAAATAAAAATGATAATAATAATTAAAAAGTTGACAGAATTATAATATAATAATAATATTAGCTTTTGTTTAATTTTTTTAATTACGTATCACCCCGATGGTGGTGATAAAAATAATTAATACAAATAAATAAAAATATTATCTTATAATTTAAAAAAAATTATTCTATTTATTTTTTACTCTCACATCTCTTCATGGACTAAAATTATATTTAGTTTTTATTCTTTTATTTTTATTTTTATTTCATTCATTTTAACCAAATACTTAAAACATGAGAATAAAATGTTTACTATCATTTCTACCCTTTCATTCCTTATTCCCAAAAGTTAAATTCGCAAATTTTATTTTAAAAAAGGCCATAAGTTAGATTCAAGTGGGAGAAATAGGAGGGGGTATTTTGTGGAAGGAAAGAAAATTACTTCTTTTATGTAATTCGAAGTTTAGACCAAATTAATAGTTCAAATTTTATATTATTATAACCCCAATTGGAGTAAAGTATGTCATTAAATCCTTAAGAGTGCTGATATACATGCACAAATTAAATAATGATAACAATAATAAAAAAAAAGAAAAAACCACGGCCCACGGTTTTTTCAGGAGCAGAAACGGTTCTATTGGCAGTAAGTTGTTCAATTGTCAATGGGTTTGGTCGTATAAATTTATAACGCAAGCGTATTTATTTATATTTTTTTAAAATTGTGTTATGATAGAGTTTCATAAATTTGCAATTTTTTCTTGAATAATATTTAAAGAACGAAAATTTCTACTGTGATGAAATTTATCATATAATAATTGTTTAGACTACCACATATTAAACAATATTTACTGGTTTTATGAAAATTTTTTATAATCAAAATCAATCAGAAAAAAAATTACTGATACAATGAGAGATTTTTTAATCACTAAAAAGCTATGCAATAATTAATATCAACCATATGCGAGATTATGCAATTCCTCTTAATGATTAGATAGATTTAATTTATCTCATTTTCATGGGTTATATAAAATTTATTTCCTAATAAAAAACCTATTGTTAAATGACTAATGAATATGGTATTCTTCCTACCATCACGATGGTCATTAAAATATGTGATAATTTCTTTTTTCTTTTTGAGAAAAAATATGAGATCAACTTTGAATGCTTTTAATGGAAACATATTGTACCATATTCTATTAAAAACCATATATTATATAATTGAAATGTAATTTAGATGATTGTTTAGTGGTTGTGTAGTTGGTAATTTAGTGAAATAAAATTCGAATACTCGTAAAATCAATTTCTTAATTATAATTATACAATTGGGAGGAATTATCTCACTATTGTATAGTTTAAGGGTAGTTAGACCTATGAATTCTTTCCAAATTTAGTTCCTGAAAAATCTTATACTCGATCAGAACTGCATTAATTAAACAAGTGTATCTCACTATGAGTTGGATAAATAGAATGGTTAAATGATACTGGAAAAAAAGCTTTGGGTAAAAACTATCTTAACAAAGCCATATTTTTTGGGATTAGGATCCTCTAATGTTTTTTTTTAACTGATTTTTTAAAAAAATAAATGAATACTAAGATTTTATTAGTTAATATCATTTGAATCTGGGAATTATCATTTAAAGGAATCATAAATGAATTAAGCCAACTAAGCCAATGTTGAAAATACGTTCTTAAGATGGCATATGAGTAAACTAAATGTTAATTAATGTGCAAGTTGGTCGAAAAATATCTTTTACCATAAAATAACAAATAGTTTTTGAAATTTATAAACTTAAATATTTAATTGGATCTAACTAACAAGTGACAATATGATACTTTTGAAGAGTCATTTAATGCTTCATATCAATCTCTAATTTCTTTTTTTTTTTTTTTAATATAAAATTTATTGTGTGAATCACTTAAACATTTTTTTAAATTTAATTAAGTGAATAAAAAGTTGTTAATCACTTCAATCTCAAAAAATAATAAAATAAAATAAAAAAATAATAAGAGAAAAAAACACTTATTTCTTGTTCTAGCATTACCTCTAATATTATTCAATATAAAAATAACTAAGGATTTATTTTATACCATGAAAAAAAAAAACAAAAAACAAAAAAGGAGCGGTGTTGCTACCTAACAATAAGTTTATGCAAATTTGGCTGAAACCGAAAGAAACAAAAAAGGGCAAGTGGGCAATTGATGAGATATTTTAAGATACAAGTCCTTATACAAAAAATATAGAGTTTTGCTGTGGCCTTATCATGCTTATATAAAGAAAAATAATTAGCGTTGGACCCTAATATATATGTCCATTAGCACAACCACATCCCCTATCAAAACCCACTTATCTTGATAAGTCCCACTAAATTTTACAAAATCAAAAACCAAATCAATATCCCCACAAAGGAAAATAATAATAATAAAAAAAATCCATACCTCACCTTATCCTCTTAGAAATTACATCTCTCTTTCTCTCCTTCCCTTTTTTCTTTCTATGCACGTGGTACACCACCACCTTCCCCTTTCTATATAAAACCTCCCTCCCTTGCTTCTCTCTCTCATTTCTCTTGCCTCCAAAATCGCTCTTTCTTTGTTCTTCTTTCTGCTTTTTCGTGACCATCACCTGCACAAGATTTCTGTATTTTCTTTGTTTGTTCTTGAAAGAAAGCAATAGAGAGTAGTGGTGGAGAGGAAGATCAGAGGCGGTAAAGAAGACGAGTGTTGTATGTCACTAAATTGTAAAGAGATTTATCTTGGTGGAATTGGTGAGCTTGTCAATCCTTCACAATGGCCTCAACTTCGAAAAAAACGACGCCTTCTCCTTCTTGTTGTGACTCTTCTAGTACTACTGCATCTCTTCCCATTCGCCGTGATGCTTCTCCTCCTTCGACGTCGTCGTCTTTGGTGCAGCAAGATTGGACTGTTCCTGTTCCCTCAACTGATCGCCGCCCGGTTGTCGATTCTCTTCCAGAATCTTCCCAAACCGCCTCCACTACTAAAAGTACGTATTTCCTCTCTAGCCCTTTTTTCTTTTTCTTTTTTTAATCATTTCTTGCTTTTGTGGATTTTTCTTTTTTCTTTATTTATTTATTTATCATTTCTTGGTTTTGTGAATTTTTTTTTTTTTATAAATCTTTATTAAAGATTCTTGATATGCTTTGTTCGAATATAAAAACAATTGATAAATGTGATTTATTCAAATAGAATTGATTACAATTAGGTGAAGTACTGAAATTTTGAGGTTCTGATATAGTAATATGAATTTCCTGTTTCTTATATTTTTATTGTTTTATTTGAAATGAGAATGCTTTAAAGATAATTTTGGAGATAAAAAACTTTCTTATTTTCTTTCTCTTTTTTTGAAAATAAAGATGTTTCTTATTTTCGGTCCTGTAATTAAGCGTCAATTCTTTTTATTATATTGATTACTATATTTTTAATTAACTTTTATTTGAAATTGACTTCTATTTGAAATTGGATTTTGATTTTTTTTTCTACTAAATCTAATAAAAATCGGAGACTAATAAATGTTGGCAAAATCTAACGGCAAATAAGCCACATTTATTGCCTTTCTTTTTTCTTTTATTGGATATATATATATAGAGTTCTAATTGAATGTGGGGGTTATTTTAGTAACTATATGAAACTTTTTTAATTGTTTGTAATAAAAGTTGCCCTTGTGTTTGTATGACTTTGGCAAATAAGCCCTTATACAAAACATTGATCAAGTTTTACCCCTATGCTCGGAAAATTTAGTCAATTCAATCCAATTAAAATAAATTGGATTAATGGCTACCAACTAAATTTTTGTAAATGATTGAAACGTAAAAAATATAATTTTCTTTTCCACAAAAGAAAATTTTCAAAAAATAAAAATAAAAATAATAATAATAATAATAAAGTTAAAAAAAAGTCTGAGAAATGAAAAAAATAATTTTTTTTTCGAAAAACTTAAATTTCAAAAATCATAATAAATAAAAAAATTAAATTCCTTTTGAGCATTATTATTTTTTATTTCTTAAATATATTTGAAATTTTTTATTCTTTTGAAAAAAATTAATTTCTTAATTTCTTAAGGATTTTCAAAAATCTTAATTGGTAGCATCTTATAAATTAAGGTTAGTATTTAGTTGAATTGACAAAATTTTGCAAATATGGGATACAATTTGATCAAAATTTTCATATAGGACTGATTTGCCAAATTAGTAGAAGCTATTTTGGAGTTTTCACAGTTGTAACAAGATAAATAAATATATAAAAACAATGTTTCAGAAGTGTCCCATAGGTATATGTTAGCTTTTGTCTTATGATTTTTTTTTTTTTTTGCACTAAATTTGTCCACAAATTTTCATCTTCTCTTATTTAATACAAAAAGCTGATTTTGTAAGATTAAAATTTGATGGATGGGTTCATAAATTTTAGTGTCATAAACAGATGCAAAACCTTTGAAGAAGCAGTGACAATTTTATTTATTTATTATTATTTTTATTTTTTTTTTGGAACCAACAAAGGTTTAGTGAATGATGATAAGCATGACATTATATATTGCATTGACTATTAAAATTTCTTAGTTACATAACATAGTTTTAATTTTGATCAATTTTGAGAGAGATGCGTGCAAGGCTGGCTTGTTTAATAACGGTGCTCATCTTATCTAGTCATCACTGTTCCAGATGCACGGGCATAAGCCATGTGCATATAGTTAGATCTAGCTAATTTTATACGGATTGCTTACTGGATTACTTTATTACAAGACTTGTTTTTAATTCCCATGAAAAGAATAGAACTTTGATATCGCTTTTTTTTTCTTTTTTTTTCATTTATCCGTTATATATATATATATATATATATATATATATATATATATAAACACCAATAGTATTGAACTTTTGATTTGATTAAAATACTTTTACTATCTCATATTTTACTTGTTAATAACTTATTCTTTTTTTGAAATCAATTTATTATTCCTATTTCCTACTCTTTCGTCATTTTAGGTGGTTAATAAACATAAATCGGCAACATTCTTAAATAAAGGTACACGTTAATTTTCAAAAACTTTTGAATGGTTATCTTACCTTAATTATTTTTGCTTAGTATTTTTTAAAATAGACTTTATGTAGAAATTGACTAACGCCTGCAGACAATCAAGTGTGGGTGTCTATATATATATATATATATAAAAGCATGCGATATCATACTAGACATGATCCTCATCCCTAACTGACTAAAAAAGCAAACTCTTTAAGTAGATTAATATATCAACTCTTAAGCAGGGCTAGGATTCATAGACAAGGAGCAAACTATTCATCTACTTTTGTCTAAAACTTATGAAAAAATCAATAATTTTTTAGTTAATCATTTAAAAATTTTTTCGATCTAATAATTTTTTTTGTCTAAAACTTATGAAGCTTCAATTATTTTGCTAAAACTTATGAAAAAAATTATTTTATCTTTTAACCAACTATTCATCTACTTTTGTCTAAAACTTCTAAATATTATAAATGTCATTTTATCTTTTAATTCTTTTTATATGTATAATAGATCACTCATCATACATATAAAAGTTTTTAGTTTAACTTAATGATTATTTTTAATTGATTGAGATCATTTGAGTATTGATAACAGCGAGTTAAGTCAACAATGTTTATTATCAAAATTCAAAGGAAAACAAGTTAAGTTTATGATTATCAACCAGGAGAATACCCTATTTGTTCTATTGTGATATCAGAAATTGTCGACATTCTTGAATTCATTTTTTAAAGGACTGAGTATTTCAAATATTCAAAGTCTTTCCAGCGGGACCTTTTCAACTGATGAGATGCAATGTAATGTTTTTGTTGTATTACGTTAAGCTGTCATCCCAGTCATGTTAAGGGCTCAGACCAGCCATCCTTTGGAACCTTTGTCTGCTGCTGAAATCTCTGTTGCAGTGGCAACTGTCAGGGCTGCCGGAGCTACTCCTGAGGTTGTTACATATGCTATAACTTTTCTTTCCCTAAATTTCTCTGATAAAATGATATGATAGTTGTTGAACTAGTGAGCTAAGTAACATTTTCGGTTTCAGCTCAGAGATAGCATGCGTTTCATTGAGGTGGTTCTGCTTGAACCAGATAAACATGTTGTCGGGCTTGCAGATGCATATTTCTTCCCTCCTTTCCAACCTTCATTGCTTCCTAGAACAAAAGGTGGACCTATAATTCCTACTAAGCTGCCTCCAAGAAGGGCTAGACTTGTTGTTTACAACAAACGGTCAAATGAGACAAGCTTATGGATTGTGGAGCTCTCTGAAGTACATGCAGCAACTCGAGGTGGACATCATAGAGGAAAAGTGATTTCATCTCAAGTTGTTCCAGATGTTCAGCCTCCAATGGTTTGTCGTGTTTTGTTGGCATTTATTCTATTTTTGTTCGCTCTTAATGTTCACTTGGTCTTTTGAGTTGCACTGAAGATGAAAGTTGATATTTAGGACTATTATTTATTTATATGGGTTTTATCCAAGTATGTAATCACGAAAAGGTTAAGAAACTAGAATTATGGATGTTATATTTATCAGTGATGAATCTTTGAAAGAATCAAGTGTCTAATTTTTGACCCATACAGTACTCTAATTGATGGGAACTGAGTTCCTGTGATATTTCAACGTCTTGTTGGCATGGATAACAAGTTATTTGAGACACTTTCTATTCCTGGGTTCATTGACTTTATTGCCAGTTACATTTTTCTTTGTGTGATTTTGTTTGTTATAAGCCTATTTTGCTTCAGTATACATCAAGATTTAATGGCCCATTGGCCTGGTCTGAAAGCAGAACCTATGTATCTTAGCTGATAAGTGCACAATCACTTTTATAACCTTTAGTAGCTGGTGTATTTGAAATGACTTGATAAGGTTTGTTAGATGAGTTATACTTGCGCACTCATTTGTGTTGTTACTTTGTTTAAATATTCTATTTGTTGCAAGTTCAGGATGCTGTAGAATATGCTGAATGTGAAGCCGTTGTCAAAGACTTTCCTCCATTTAGAGAGGCAATGAAAAAAAGAGGTATTGAAGACATGGAACTTGTGATGGTTGATGCCTGGTATGCTAGAGCTAAGATATGAGTTTTGTACACATTATCTGTTGGAAAGTTGCTATAGGATGGTGTGAAGTTGTTGATATTTTGTTTTCATATTTATGTTTCAGGTGTGTTGGTTACCACAGTGATGCTGATGCTCCAAGCAGAAGACTTGCTAAACCACTTATATTTTGTAGAACTGAGAGTGACTGCCCAATGGAAAATGGTTATGCACGACCAGTCGAGGGCATCCATGTGCTTGTCGATATGCAAAACATGAAGGTGATCGAATTTGAAGATCATAAACTTGTTCCCTTACCTCCAGCTGATCCATTAAGGAACTATACTCCTGGTGAAACAAGAGGTGGTGTTGATCGAAGTGATGTGAAACCTTTACAAATTATCCAGCTTGAAGGTCCAAGCTTTCGTGTCAATGGACACTATATAGAATGGCAGAAGGTACATGTCAAACTTGTTAAATTTATCTACTAATTTATATCTTATTAACTTCAGAAACTTTGATGAAGAATCTGATTATATTCTTGCTGGTTGGCAGTGGAATTTTCGCATTGGATTCACTCCTAGGGAGGGCCTGGTTATACATTCTGTTGCCTATGTTGATGGTAGCAGGGGGAGACGACCTGTAGCCCACAGGTTAAGCTTTGTAGAGATGGTTGTGCCTTATGGAGATCCAAATGAACCACATTATCGTAAGAATGCTTTTGATGCTGGGGAAGATGGCCTAGGTAAAAATGCACATTCACTAAAAAAGGTTCGTGAACTTTTTCTCAGGGTGCACTGCATTAAGTTATATATTTTTTAGTTTCAATCATAATCAAAGCCACCATTGCAGGGCTGTGATTGTCTGGGCTTTATCAAATACTTTGATGCACACTTTACAAACTTCACTGGAGGTGTTGAAACAATTGAAAATTGTGTATGTTTGCATGAAGAGGATCATGGAATTTTATGGAAGCATCAGGATTGGAGGACAGGTTTGGCAGAAGTACGAAGGTCTAGACGGCTTACAGTTTCCTTTATTTGTACTGTCGCCAATTATGAGTATGGATTTTTCTGGCACTTCTATCAGGCAAGTTGAATCCTACGCTATTTGCATTCCCATACATATCTATGTTAATTCAGATGTTGGACTTGTGAACAGGGAGAATGTGTTTGTTGTAAAATGCATCTTTACTATGAAGACCATTTTATGGACCAATGAAAATTTAATGGATGCACTTTCTAAAACATATGTTTTCAGAAATTAAGTAGTTTGATCATTTGCTTCATGCATTGCCAATTAGGCGTAGGCTACATATGTAATTAACTTCTTTGGGCTTCCTTTCTTCGAGCAACTTGCACCTCAATGTTGATTAAAGCCAAGTGATAGATTGCATTGTGCTTTGTAGTTGGTTGTACTGTGCATTCTTAAGATTTAGAATGACATGTAAGTTGTTTGTTGCCACAGGATGGAAAAATCGAAGCTGAAGTGAAGCTTACGGGAATCCTTAGCTTAGGAGCATTACAACCTGGGGAGACTCGAAAATATGGTACAACCATTGCCCCAGGTCTCTATGCACCAGTTCATCAACACTTCTTTGTTGCTCGTTTGGACATGGCAGTTGATTGCAAAGCTGGTGAAGCTTTCAATCAGGTACTTTGCATTGAATCTATGAGCTATATCTGTCCTATTTCAAATTTGCAAGTACTTAGGTAGTGCAGTACTTGCTTGTTCTTGGAAATGGGATTTACTTCTGGTTAAATCTCCATTCTGGCCTTCAATTTAGTGTGGATTTACCTGTAGCCAAGTGTGAGTCTGTGCTTGTGTTAAGAGAGGATGGGTTCTATCAGGCAGAGAACAGAATTAGGATTTACTTTTGAAGAGCTTCTGAAATTTTAAGTAGTTACCAGACTTAATAAGGCGTGACATAATACCAAAGCATTTGTGGTCAATCATCACAATTTCTTGGCCACCATGAAATGATGCACCTCTTTGCAAGCTACATTGTGGTTTTTTGTTGTTTAATTCCTCAATTCTGAACTGTTGGTATAAGGTTGTGGTATGGTAATGGATAGATTTGCTTTGAAAAACTTATAATCTTTTTCTGTATATATTAAATGGTTCTATTTATTTATCTTTTCAATTTGTAGGTTGTTGAGGTGAATGTTGAATTTGAGAAACCTGGGGAGAAAAATGTCCACAATAATGCATTCTATGCCAAAGAGACACTGCTCCGATCAGAATTGCAAGCAATGCGTGATTGCAACCCCCAAACAGCTCGCCATTGGATTGTAAGATATTCTTTTCCTGTTGTAGGGCTGCTCTTGCTAAGTGATTGTTACCGACTGATATTGCCTCTTTCTTTGAAATGCTTCATGTTGGATGCATTATTTTTGCATATTGTTTGCTTCACTGTATTATTGGATCTGTTGGATGGAACTGGGAAGTAAGATTATTTCTCACAGTTTTATGCTGTGAAATGGCTGATAGGAGCTAAGTGCTGGCACTGAAAAAAGAAAAAAAGGTCTATTTTCTAGTGACAGTGTCACCCAGATTTTAGAAAGTTTATACTTTATGCTGATACCTATTTGCTTCTAGATTTCAAGTAGCATGATTCAATATAATTTCCCTTTTCTTTACTTGGGGAAAAATCTCATAGCGAACCATTTCATACTATTTATCCTTCAGGTGAGAAACACTAGAACCGTAAACAGAACTGGACAATTAACAGGCTACAAGCTAGTACCTGGTTCAAATTGTTTGCCATTAGCTGGTCCTGAGGCAAAGTTTTTGAGGCGAGCTGCTTTTCTGAATCACAATCTTTGGGTCACACCTTATACACATGGCGAAATGTTTCCTGGAGGAGAGTTCCCTAATCAAAATCCACGTGTTGGTGAAGGACTGTCTACATGGGTTAAGCAGAATCGACCTTTAGAAGAAACTGATATAGTTCTTTGGTTAGTTGAACATCTCACTCTATTTCTCATGTATGTGTGTGTGTAGTGTATGTATAAACATATTTCAAATGCTATGTATATAAATTCAGGATTTTCTTTGCATTTAACAGTAGTTTTGTCTCTGAAGCACTGCCGTCTTCAACTGTTTTTGGAGTCATCATTTTATTATTCAGATGACATGGCTTCTTGCTTCATTCTGTTGAAAAAAACAAGGTGGCAGACACCCGTTTGTCACGAATGTACTGGACTGGACCACTAACTAAGCAATAATGAATGAAAATATTTTATTTTCTTTAAAGAGAAGTCATTCCATGATAATAACGATGAAAAACATCAGCAGGTTGATAATTTGACATACCTTTTAGTGTTTATTGATTTTTAATGCACATTTACAAGCTAAGTTTCACTGAAATTCTTCCATATGTCATATCTGATTCTGTTTGTTACAGGTATGTATTTGGGATTACACATGTTCCTCGGTTGGAAGATTGGCCAGTCATGCCTGTGGAGCGCATTGGTTTTATGCTTATGGTATTTACTTTGCACATACAATCTTGTTTCCGTCCCTAATGTCCTTAAAACTTCTCTGTTGATGCTCATGAATACATAATGAAGCATAAAGTTGCTAAATTTGTGTAGATTTATTGCGAAGGGCTCTGCAAGTGCTGAAAATAATGGGCAACCCTTCTAAAACTTAAAATTGCTCTAATCACATAATTCTTATAATTCTTTTTTTTTTTTTTTTTTTGATTGATTACTAACTTCATTTAAGATGTCAACCCTTCTAAACTTAAAAGTGCTCTATTCACGAAATTCTTATAATTTTTTTTTTTTTTTTTTTTTTTCTTTTTTTTTTCTGATTGATCAATAACTTCATGAAATTTTGGTCCTGTACTGAAGATGCCAGTTTACATTATGGTCTTCTATGTGCATATTCTGTATTTATCTCATTCTGCTGGTGTTTGTGGAATGCAGCCTCATGGGTTTTTCAATTGCTCTCCTGCTGTGGATGTTCCTCCCAGCACATGCGAATTGGACGCCAAAGACAATGATGTGAAAGACAATGGTGTAGGGAAGACACTTCAAAGTGGGGTGCTGGCCAAGCTTTAACTGCATGCAGCAAAATACAATATGAAACCATCCATCCTTTACAGTCTTCACCATCACCAATCTGTCCAGAACCCTCTTCATGCATCAAGTGCTAACCAATATGCTAGATCAATGTCACTGGTTTTGTACAACATGAACATCTGGATTAGGTTCTTCTGTTTTGATTGGACATTTTGTTGTTGTTATGCTGTGGAATTGAATTCTGATTGGTTGATCAATGTATGAAAAATCTTATTAGCAGGTTTATTCTATATCCGTTATTATCGTTTGTATTATGGCAAGCTGTGTTGCAAATCTTTCTTCAGAGAAAAGCATCGAGGAAAAAACAATATGAAATCATCCATCCTTACAGTCTCACTAATGATTTTTTTCCCTTGCCCGACAGACAGACAGACAGGAAATAATATAGAGCCTACAAAAAAAAAAAAAGGCTAGAGATGATTCCACTTATTCGCTCAAAACCAACGTTTTCCCCTTGAGATATCTTGTCCAACAATTGGTAGGCTTTCCTCACATATCTTGCAGGCCTCTTTGATACTACTAAGTAAATGGAAACACTACAAAGAGGAGAGGAATGAGATAAACTGTAAACCTTTTATTATTCTGCTAAGGCTTACCTTTAATAAGGTTACAAGGTTTCCTATTTACATGGAAGGAGGAGAGACTACATTCAGGTCAGGTGTCACAGGACAAAACACAAATTACAAAATAGATAACACTACATGATATAATACAAATTACAAAGCATTATAAGATAAAACTTACATTTGTTATAAATGAACCATTTGCAATACCTTAGGGAATTGGTAAAGTAAATCACATTGTAGATGAAGAGGAAATATGGATAAGTAGGTTTTAAGTGTGTTTGTATTTTATTTTTTTTGTGTGTGTGTGTGTGTGTGTGTGTGTGTGTGTGGGGGGGGGGGGGGGGGGGGGGGGGGTGGGGCATTGGGCTCATGAAAAAATGGAAAAAGGCTCAAAGTATCAAAGGGTTTTATAATGTATGATTATTTTGTTGTCTATATAAATCTCTTTAGGTAATGTTGCCTAGGTTACTTTAGCAATTGATTAGGTTTTTTTGTCATGTTCATGAGAATTTCTTTTTCGGACTTGTCGCAATGACTTTGTTATTTTAATTGTGAATTTGTTTCCTAGCTTCAACTCACATTGTTTGTTTTGTCTAAATTTTGACTCTTGTCTTGAATTATAATTTGCATTAGGGACGCTTTTTTCTTTCTTTCTTTTTGCTTTTACATTCTCATTTGTTTTTGAAATCATTGATGGAGTTTCTTTCATAGAATTTTTTTAAGAGTTTTATTAATCATTTAAGGATCTTGCACTCTCTCCTCCAGGTGTGAAGGGTAATCCTAGTCTAGGTCATCATGAAAAAAATCATCAAGACTCAAGATGGGATGACAAGGGATAAAACTTTTTGTGAGATGTATGAAAAATAACCTTTCTTTATCTCGAAGGCTAATTTGCCTATGTCGATAAACGTTAATCTCTTCATTTTATGACCACGGTACTAACAACGAAGGAGAAGTGTGTGCTCTATTTGGACGAGTTTGAAGCTCTATGGGGATAACAACATATCGATGAATTATGTGGAACTTGACTTAAAAATAGTAGTGGATTGGATGAGTGGCTCACAAGCGGTTTCATGGAGGTCTGGTGTATCCTTTTTGCAAATTTACAATCGTGCTTGGTAAATGTAAGTTGATCCATGTTTATAGAAAAGGAAACTGGGTAGAAAACCGTTTGGCGACTTATGCATATGAGCATAGAGGGTAAGTTCTTTATAAGGAAGCTACTACAATACCTTCATCGGTTTTCATAACTCTTCGGAAAGATCGTTTAAGCTTAGCTAGATTTCTAAAATAAACTTATTTGTATACTTTAGTTTCGCGAGCTTTAAGTTTTCCGGTCTCGGCATTTTACATCGTCCGCATACATTTAGGGTTCTTTTTAAAGGTTACCCTTAAGGGATTTTTTTGTATTTTTTAGAAAACTTTCCTGTAAGTGTTTTAGGGGTTTAGGCTTCCTTGTCCTCCTAGATGTTGGGTTAGGCTGGTTTATCCCCCCTTGTTTTATTCCATTTTTATCTATAAATTTCCAAGGTATCATCCTAAAAAAAAAAAAAAAAAAAAAAAAAAAACTTAGGTTAACCTAAAAAATGATGAGTGTAATTTGAGATCATGACTTGAAGATGTATTGTTTATTATCATTAAAGACACTAATCATTTAGTCTTTTAAATTTGGGCTTCATGATCTTTTCCTAAGCAAAATTTTCATTCGAGAGTTCAATTAGAAAAAGAAAAAGGATTTCTTTTTGGTTAAAAAGAGGTATTTCATCCCTATTTTTTGCTCAAAAAGGTTGTTAAAAAGGAAAAATATATATATTTAGGGTTCAATGAATTGAAGAATTATTTTTAGCATCTATCAGTCATACTTGAAAATTTGATCGATCTTTTGAATGTTTTTAAATGAATTTTCCATTATATATATATATATATATATATATATGAAGGAAGATGTAATGTCAAATAATACTTTTAAATGAATATCTTTTAATTTTAGATCGGACAATATGAAATTTTAGAAAGTGAATAGGAGTTACTTCTTCATTTAAAGACACGACTCAATCCATGTATAGCCAAAATATGTTTTTCTTATTTTTATTATTATTTTTTTTTCAGAAACGAGTTCAAAATATGACAAAATTAAAATACCATAGTTGTAAATTATGAGCATGCATCAATTTTTTTTAAACTCACTCAATATCTTTATCTTATGGATCGGCGAATTGTATGGTTTGAGAGTTGATCCATATTCATATTGGGAGCATTTAGACTCATTGTCAAAAATGATTCAATCGATTCAACCTTGTTTGATTGAATCTAATAGCTTCTTCTTAAAAATAGAACATTTATCGAGTTATATCCAATAACATATGAATGACATTCACATCTCTTAATTGGTTTGTACCATGGAGGATAAGGGAGTTTTATTAAGTTAGGTTGGATTGGAGTGATTTGCCTTATGCTTACCGAGACACTCAAACATTTCATCCAATCGAAAAGTTTGGGTGGTAGTTATTCGTGGTTTTGAATGTTGGAGCATTTTGGAGGAATCAACTTGCTTGGTAATTTTAATTAGGCAAACATGATTGATTTGGCTTATTTGGTAGATATGATTGATAGGCTTGATTTCTTTAGGATGTGGTTGCATTTGGGTTTTCAAATGTGGTTTTGTTTGTTTTTTTTTTAGATATGATTGTATTTAAATTTGGAAAAATATTGACTTTTGTGGTTGTTAGGTTGGAGGTGTATTGAGTAGATGTAGGGTTTTGGATGTTTGTCAACATTTTCATAATTTCCATATCTTTCTCGATTTTTGAGTAGAGAGGATTCAATTATAATGCGGTATACTTCACCATCACTCTTCTTAATATCACTACTTCCTTTCTTCTCAAAACCACTAAAGACCTTCCTAAATTTAATTGTCCGTTCTATCTTTCCATCGATGATGACAATATCAATAAAATTAGAGGAGCAATTCATAACTAGATACTCGAAGTATAGTGTTTAACGGGAGATGGTGATCAATACTTGTTTAGATAGTAGCGGATGAATCTAAGTTCGTCACCTCACGCTACCTCTAAGCATATTTCTTGATGGTTTCTTTTGGACTTTTTTCACATATTGCCAACCGGATCGGTTTGAAGCAACCTTCATGTTAAACTTGTACTTTTTTTTACAAAAAAGCATATACTAGATCCTACCATCCTTTTTATCTTGGCATTGTTTAGTTTCATATATCTACTTAAAGTAGATCCACCCTATCTCTTACAAAAAAAAGTATATCATTAGTTTCTCATCATGCACAAGTTTAGCCATCTTGCTATCGTATGCTCGTAAGTGAGTGATGGGACATTAGGTGCTCGTATACTTAGTAAATTTAGAAATTTTGAATTTTTTGAGAATTGCCATATTCAATACCAAATAGCAGCTTTTAGGAGGTCATAGACATTGGTTCCTTCAATAACCTTAAGGATTTGTTAATGGAAGATGGTTCATCCATATTAGACCCCTTTATCATCTTAATTTTGATGGTTTCCTCGGTAATACGATCTATGATATGAGCTCTTTGCATTTATGGTATTTGTCGACCATTACATAAGCAAACAACCTAGTAGGACAAAAAGTCTTAGAATGGAATGATGTTGCCTCCGGACGAGTGGGTGTTACAATGGATGGCCCAAACTACAAGTTAGGTAGTGGAAGGGCGTATGACATATCACCCTAGGCTTGGCTTTGGTTTAAAGTACTTCCCTCACTAGGTAGTGCCAACTTGGATTTTTTCAGCAAATTAGTTAGATGATCAATTTCCCTTTCATCTTGTAAAGTTCATGTTTGTGGGCTTGTTCTCATTGTTCTTTTTTTTCGTTTTCAATTTGGTGATGCCTAAGTCGAGTGTAGTGGATTTGAGGAAAAGGAGTTGAGTTTTGGGATGACTTATAGTTCAAATCTTATAAAATAACTTAAAAAGAGATATGTATAGTGAATATATATATATGTAAGATGTGAACTGCATTAGATACGTTGCTTTATCGTACGGACTTCAAATCATAACAGAGCTTATACTATGGATGGGCCATACCAAATTTTAGTACTCGCTAAGGTTATAACTCCATAATACTTTGGGCGATTCAAGAGACATATCTACCCAATTCTCCTTTTTTTTTTTTTTTTTCGTTAGGACCTTGAGTGATGGGCGCATCTTGTAATAGTATACATAAGGGAATTTGAAAATTAGACTTTTAGCATATTCTAAATATGATGTAGAGTTATTTTTCATTGAAGGAAAAAAACAATATCATTGTTTACATTATAATGACCATTTGTTATAACCACTTAGATTCTATTACAATGCTCATAACGTTTTTGTTACATATAGATGAGGATTCTACTTTTCACTACTCTTAAACTAGATATAAGGTGTTAGTGGCTATGAGGTTTCTATGTCTTGTATATAAAAAAAGAGCTCTTCTTTAGTGGTGTACTTATTGCTTATGCTTCCCCTCTTTTAGATAGTTTCAATGCATAATATATGGATAGAAAATCTCCTTCCTTAAATTGGGCCGGCTCGGATCGGGTCCTAAAATCCTTAACAACATTTCATGTTCTCTTTGTCGGGATTTGTTTTGGTGGTAGCCTACAAAAATAAGAGTTAGATTTGATATCATTTAAAGATAACTTGTGTCTTAAATGGATAATCTTGATGGATATGATCTAGCTTTTTCAACATTTATGCAAAGCTTATCTAATCCTAAACTCGTTTCAAGTTTTTGGATTATCTAAAATATTAGTGGGATAATTCCGCCTCGACCTTATACACCAAGAGGTATGAAAGATTATTTCATATTTTCCTATGCATAGGGTGAGTTCCAATCCAAATGAGTTGATTGGGCATCGGTAGACTTTCATTATACTTACCTTTGAATCCCTCCATCTAAATCCTAAAGGGTTTTTTAGCTCAAGTCTAGAGTTTTTGCAAGCTTTCTTTGTAGTGTGTGCAATAGTACAAAACAAATGCATCCAACCCAGTTCATAAAATAAATATATCTAAAAATTAAAATGCAAGGAAAATAAATAAAATGAAATAAAATAAATAAATAAATAAAAATAAAGAACTTGGAAGTAAATGACAAAAATAATTAAAAGAGATAAAATTTTAAAAGGCTAAACCTATGGCCCAATTCTAAATCTCTACCGGAGTCGCTATTCTGTTACTACCCGATGTTCAATGAAACTTACAAAAAATAATTTATTATTTGTTAAAAATTTGTTTATATGAGAATATGAGTTATTATTAATTTGAAATTGCCACCTATTACTAAAGATTACTAGGAACCTAAAATAGATACTTGGTTTAAAGATTCTAAGGTAAGGAGTTGGTTATACGAGTTAAAAAGATATCAATCATTTAAAAACATCATTTTCTAAGAAAGGTACCATGTCTAGTTTAATCCTAAAATTTATCTCTTAAAAATTTCTATTTTTACCAAAATTGATCCTAAGTCAAAATTTCATGTTTTATTTCCTAAACCAATTGATTTTTTTTTCTTATGGGATTATATTGAATCAATTATCGAACCTCGACATCGAAACTCTCATCAATTCAACATCGAATCCAATTTAACTCTCAAAATAATGGTATGTCGGAGAATATTCGGATTACTAAGGATGGTTAATTTGATTCAATTAACAACATCGGTTCCTATCGGATAGAAGACTTGTTAAATTAACTTAACATTTTCTCTAATTTTTTGTTCTTTTATTCTTTTTTATGTTTGCTTTTTCTTTTTCTTTTTTTTTTTGGAATTTTTTAGAGTTGGATAAAATATGTTGAAACCATCATTCGTCCTTAATAAATAGAAGACTCATTGGTCCGACATCACAACCAAATAAAATCCATATATTAAGATTAAATTTATGACCTACATATTTTTATATTTTCTAACGCATTTAAAATTAAATACTTATCACCAAACAACATAATAAAATGAAAAAAAAAGGGATAAGAGAAACAAACCAAAAGGTTATTAGACGAGTGATCAAAATGCTCCTAAGATGTTGCTTGGAAAAGAGCAAAACTACCCCGTTTTCCATAATAACAAAATTGCCCTTGGTGTTGAAAATAACTAAGTTGCCTTTGTTCACTATCGAAGGTTGTTATTGCTCGTTCGATCACTAATCGACCAGTGGATCACTCAATTGTGTAAGAGACATCTAGGCGAGACTAGTAGGTTTTAGAACGGACAACCATTATTATATGAGGGAGGAGATCAACAATAGAAAAGTTTTGACCAATCTCTTTCTTTTTTCCATTCGATTTTGATCGGATTTAATGGTTTCCAAGTCCAAATCAAATCAGAATAACCTTTAGGACTCGTTGGAGCTTTGTTTTGGCCATTGAGTGGTTTGATTTGGGCAAAAAATCGGGAAGAAAACCGATCACAAGCCATGGGTCACATAGGTTCGAGTTCATGATCGGTTTCCTCCCTTCCTCATCATTTTTCATCACTCCCATTGGTGGAGAAGGGTTTTTGGAGAATAGGGGACTAGTTTTGTAGTAGTGGTTGCCGTTGATATCCTCGAAAAATAGATGATTGGGAGGAGCTTGTATCCGGATCTAAAAATGGATCGGTCACCAAACTTCTTTCCTTAGTTCCGACCTCCTCCAATGTCCTCTTCTTCTCCAACTGGTCAAGAATGGTGGATCTAAGGCTGGATTATCGATTGGTGGTGGTGGTTGTAGGCATTTTTGGTCGAAGGATGGTCAATTTGAGAGAGAAAATTCAACGGGTATTTGGATTGACCCATGGGCGATCGGGTCCGTCAAGTTCTTCTTAGGGGTTGTTTGATTTTTTTTTTAAAGGTTTTTCTTCTCTTAGGATCCATGATTGTAAATTTTTTAGAAAAATGATGAATATTAAACTTTTTACATTTTGGTTAGGTTTTTTGTGGGTATGGGCGATGGGTAGTTGTGGTTAGGTTGTTTTGTGATAGGTGAATAATGAAGGCTAGGTTGTTTTGGTAGGAAGATAGTTGATGAATGCTAGGGTTTTTAGGTAAAAAGATGAGTGATGGAGACTAAAGTTTTTGGAATAAGAGAATAATTGTTGAGGCCCTCTTGAAAAATGAAGTGAAAGGGTGTTTATATGGGACCTTTTTAGGGGTTTGAATAAAATTAACTTAGGTCCTTTTTTTGATTATTTTCCTTAATTTCAATGTATGTTCCATCATTTTTCTTTAGTTAGCTCCTTAATTGAAATTGTTTAATCTATATTCTTTTGATTTCTTCAAATTTCACACTCGATTAATTTTCAATCAACTTTCTTGATTTTTATCTCTTTTCAATTACATCCTTATTTGAATGTCACTTGGTTCTCGCTTTTCACAACATTTTCAATTGGATTACAAATCATTTTCTTTATTTTTATTCTTTTCTCTTATTTTTTTTAATTAAAATGAGAGATAATTCTAAGAAATTAAAATCATAAAAATTTATAAAAAATGCCTAAAATTATGAAAAAAAAACTATGCAACATTCTTTTTTTTTTTTTTTTTTAATTTTGTATGAAAATAAAACAAATGGTAAAAAATGAGCTATTACGCATTATATTAGATAGAAAATACCTTTTACTCCGAAGTCGTATGCTAGAAAATGACTTTCTTTCGCGAACAAGCCATTAGCGATTTTCTTTATTTGCTCATAGAAACAATTAAGATAAATTTAATTTTTTTCTTTGAATTATAAATTAATTTTTAACAAAGTGCATCCAGACGTGCCAAAATTGCTAGTTCCATTAAATGATGAGATGTTTCATTGCATCTTAAATATATTAAACACAGTATAGAGTCAACAACCTAGGGTTGTCATAAATTGTAGCATTAGTAGAAACTTTCCTTTTGCAATCATGAAAATCTAACGATCAATAATTCAATAGTTCGTTGTTACGTATGATAGAAAACATTTATTTGAACCTGATAAGTGGAACCTCACTTTCATAAATATTTCGCTACATATATGCTACTGATAAATAAGTATTTTATTAAATATGAAAAAAAATACACGGATGGTACGAAAAAAGAAAAAGAAAAACATACTCATGATTTTGCAGCAGAACTTGACTCATGTCCGATACGACTTATTGTGTACTTCGGAGAAAAGAAAGTTGTCAAATTAAGCCCACAGTCCACGCGAGCATCGAGTTCTGATTTGTGGATTAGCTTTTTCAAAACCCTAGCATCTCTTCTAAACTCCTCAAGTGGGTCAATAATTGCATGACCTTCTGCCTGTCCAATAAATAATATATTCCCATCTTCCAAAAACTATAGGCCACGCAAATCCCACTTCACCTCCACACAAGCAAACCTCCCAACTATATGTAGTTTCTAATTTTATCAATTGCATTTCTCATCTATCCACCTTTCCTCAATTGAGTCCTTGGGTTAAAAAAAAACAATAGATTCAAGAGCAGCAGCACGCTAGTGAAGCCTTGCATATTCTAAATGGGAGGAAATTTGGTATTCTTATGCCTGGGAGGGAGGAATTAGGGTTAGTTAATAATCATGCACTATTTAATGCCATCTCTAATGATTTTAACAGAAAAGGCCAACCGAGGAAGGGTATCCATGGGGGACCCAATTGGTAAAACAAGTATTTAAGGGTCTCAATATAGAAACTGAATATAGTCCAGGGACTAATATGAGGTTTGACCATAAAATAAGTGAAGAAAACATTTCATCCTCCAATATTTTCTCATCCGAGCATTCTCCAGTCACAAGACCAAATCCCAAACCCATAATTTCCTTGATTATTTTATGAATCTTCCAGGCAAACTCAAATCCCCAACTCCTAGATTGTCCAAATTCATGTCAGTACGAGGATAGAAGAACTCGATTGTCCAATTCAGTTAACAAAAATGTCTGCTGCAACTGCTACGGTCACTACTTCTACAGGACCTCCTCATGTGGTTGAAGAAAAAACTGTGCAAGAAGAACTCTCTCTTCCAATTTTGCTTGCAGATCGTGTTATAAAATCAGCCCAAGAAGCTGAATCTTCAAAGCAAGACTGTTCTGACTTAGCCAAACAAGTTGACCGCCTTTCCCACATGCTCCGCTCTGCCGTCCGCCTTGCCGTCTCCACTCCTTCCCTCTATGACCGTCCCCTCCGCCGTATCTCCTCCGACATCGCCAAAAACCTTGACCGTGCGCTAACCCTTGTCCGCAAATGCAAGAAACATAGTGGGGTACTTCGTCAAGTGTTTTCTATTACTACAACTGCTGATTTTCGTAAGGTTTCGAATCTTTTAGAGTCTTCTATTGGTGATATGAAATGGCTGCTTTCGATTTTTGAGTCTGATGGTGGTGCTCATTTGTCTTTGCCTCCTATTGCTAGTAATGATCCTATTCTTGCTTGGGTATGGTCTTCTATTTCTGCTGTTCAAATGGGTCAACCTAAGGATCGTGTTGATGCTGCCAATCAACTTGCCTCGTTGGCGCGTGATAATGATAGGAATAAGAAGATGATTGTTGAAGAAGGTGGGATTTTTCCTTTGTTGAAGTTGCTTAAGGAGGGTGCTTCTGCGGAGGCACAAACTGCTGCTGCCACTGCACTTTTTCATATTGCTAATGATAGAGAGAGAGTTAGGTTGATTGTTGACGCACTTGGGATTTCGATCATTGTTGGGGTTTTAGGGGATTCGCCAACTAAGGTTCAGATTCCGGTGGCCAATTTGGTGGCAAGAATGGCGGATTTGGATGATTATGCACAGGAGGAGTTTATGAGGTTGAATGTGACTAGACCGTTGGTGTCTTTGTTGTCTAATCATTTGGATTTGGAAGTAGTGAGTAATAATCCTGTTAAAACTAGTATTCCCTCGCTTGTCGAAATGAACAAACAATTAGCTTATAAGAATATTAAGGCTAATTATAATTCGGAAAGCAGTAGCCATGGTGGTTCACATAATAAGAAGGAGAGGGAAATGGAGACACCAGAGTTGCAGCTTAAGCTTAAGGTTAGTTGTGCAGATGCACTAAGGAAACTGTCAAAAGGGAGTGTGTCCAACAGTAGGAAGATTACAGAGACGAAAGGCTTGCTTTGTTTGGCAAAGATTGTTGAGAAGGAAAAGGGGGAGCTGCAGTTTAATTGTTTGATGACCATTATGGAGATCACGGCGGTGGCGGAGTCCAATGCTGATCTTAGACGTGCAGCTTTTAAGACTAATTCGCCTGCTGCAAAGGCGGTTTTGGATCAGCTTTTAAGAGTAATTCAAGAAGAACATGATCCAAAGTTGCAGATTCCTGCTATTCGGTCTATTGGTTGCTTGGCTCGAACATTTCCTGCTAGGGAGACTCGAATAATGGGGCCTTTGGTTTCACATCTTAGTAATAGGAATGTCGATCTCGCTACAGAAGCTGCTATTGCCTTGGGGAAATTTGCATGTCCTGAAAATTTCAATTGTTCCGAGCATTCAATAGCAATTATAGAGTTTGATGGGGTTCCCCCTTTAATGAAATTACTACGGTATGGTGATCAGGCTCAATTGCAGGGACTTGTATTATTATGCTATCTCGCTTTGAATGCTGGGAACAGTAAGGCTCTTGAGCAGGCACGTGCTTTGAATGCTCTTGAAGGGACTGCTCGTTCTGTTTTAGCTCAACATCCTGAATTGAAGGATTTGTTTGCCAAGGCCATACACGACCTCACTCTCTATCAGGCTGGAGCTTCTCTCAATAGACAGTCTTTGGCATGATAATGAATACCACTGTTGCCAAAACAATCCACCCTTGTGAGCGTTGTTATATATATAGTACACTAGATTCTTATTGTCAATTGAAGAACACTTGGTTGGTTAGGACGTGATATTTGAACAAGATTCAGTGCATGCTTGTGCAATGTATTGGATTTCAGTTCCACATAATTGAACAAGGTTTTCTTACTATAGTGTTCAATTATTGCCAAGCTTTTTGTTTGTTCTGCAGTTTGTGCATTTATTTTCAACCTTGCTTTACAACTCTGAAGTTGCCCCTGCATTAGGGTTGGCTTTGGTTTTATGGCTGGCAATTTAATAAGCTTAAGGTGAGAAACCTTCGAGTCTGAATTTTGTACAGAACTGTGGTTTCCATATTCCTAAAGATTTCTGTGCTTAGGTGTCTATTGCTCTCTGTAACTTGATCTCATCATGAACTCAGTGATTTCTACTCCCCCAGTTTCCACCTTTGTTTGAGTTTGCGGTGGGATTGCTGTTCTGCTGTCATATCCAATTGCATCAACCCAAACACATCCTAAGGATGGATGCTATTCCGCTGGTAATGCTATAGTCTCTGATCCTTTGAGAAACTGGATTTTTCCTCTTCAATTTGAATTGATTTTATTCAGAGTTGTGGTTTACCACGTTTTTAATAGTTTCAGCCTATTTGATTATTGTTCGAGGTCCCCTTTTGATGGATTTCTTCCATCTGGTGATAATGCTCAAATGCATGGACTTGTATTCTTATGCTACCTGTCATTAAAGGTTGGGAATAGCAAGGCTCTTGAGCAAGTGTGGACTTCGAATGCTCTGGAGGGGACAGCTAGTTCTGTACTCAACAAAAATGATCACCTTACTCTTTATTAGGCTAGAGCTCATCCCATAGACAGCCTTTTGTAACATAATGAATACCACTGTTTTGGCAGCCTAAAAAAATTCATCCTTTTCAGTGTTGTTATAATGTGTTTTAGACTGGATTCATAATTGTGAACAAAGGATAACTTTGTGGGTTAAGAGATGCTTGTTCAACAGGATGGATTACCAAGTATATGTTTCTTATGTGTTTTGCGTATATGTTGTTCTCTCTTTGCAGCCAACAGCCTTGTCTTACAGCTCTGAAGATGCCCCTCGCTACAAGCTTGAGGTAAAAAAATCTTAGTTATAGATTTTGTTCAGAGTTTTAGTTTACCAAAAATTGATTTGCTTGATTATTGTTTACCGAGAGGCTCATAACATCTTGAATATAGTTGGTGATTTTGTGCTTCTTATTATGTCGGTAAATGGCCACCTTACAGGTCTTCATTCTTTCTGAGAAACTTGCAGGTTTTTTTTTTTTGAATTATTAGTTATATAATTATATCCTTTCATGGATTACCATTACAGAAATTGTGTCTTATACTCTTTATGGATTGAAACTAGCCTTTATCCCTTTATCAGGATGATCAGACAGTGCCAGCAAATAACTATTCTCTTTATGTTTCGTGTTCTATATGCTTTGCCAAGAAACAATACTCATTATTTATGCCATGGAAGTTTTGAGGTTGTCTTTTGGTTCCATGTTTTTTCCCCTTGCATTGGAGGTTTTTCATGTAAAAATAAATTGATGTTGTTTTTGTTTGTCATAAAAAACTTGACAATTTTTTGAGAATGTTTACTGTACTCAAAGAGTAACTATGAATGCTTATTTCATAAGAAATAAAAAGGTAGACACCAAAAGAAAAGAAAAGAGAAACAAAAGAGAGAGAATTAAAAAAAAGATGAGATATTGGTTGCACTTCTTATATGGGATATAATAATAATTATTATTATTTCTATTTCTTTTGCCGAGCTATTTAGGAGAAGACTCAAACTGAATCTTGATTTGAAATGGGGATAAAACATGCTAATTCTTCTTTTCAACATATGCATATCTCATTTCTATGGCATAGCATATTAATTTGTTGCAGTAACCTTTGTTGATTGGATTATTTTTCTCCCTGAATTGTGAGGTTTTCCCAGTTGTAGCAATGGTAGGGCTTCTCCATCCACGATTCTATGCCTCTACCCAGCCGAAGTGCGGTCACAAAAGTAGAATGGGTTCTAGTGATGCCACAATTTAGCTAGTGGATGGATCACAATTTAGTGATTTACAATCACAGCGTGCGCTGATGGATCACACCAAAAACCTACAGAATCTTGCCTGAACCATGATGGGTGGAAGCTGGCCCGGTTTTTTTCATTGTTTACTTCAGTAGGGAAAAAAAGGAGGTGGGCTCAACTTGGAGGCTCACAATTAGCTTTGTGGGCTGGGTTCATCCTCCAATGCCCATGGGTATGGAATGGCTATTTAGGACCAACTAAATTGGTATGAATCGAGTACCATATATCCTCCATTTCTTCAAAACTAAATTGGTTTGATTTGAAGAAATGGAGGATATATGGTACTCGATTCATTTTATGTACAGTCGAACATATTCCTAAGCATCAAATACAAATTGTCTTACAACATGATGCTGTACACCAGGAAGCTGGTTAGATTCAATAATGAAATGAAGTATTATGTGCTTCATTCTACAACAACATTTTATTCTTTATTTCAAAGGTTCCAGAGCTGATTTGATTGTTAGATCCTTGAACTTGCATGCTTGAATCCTACTTTGTTATGATGCTCAGGGGTCAACCTCTTTCTGTTGATCAAATCAAATAACTGCTTCCGAAAAAAGGCTTAAAGGGGATTGGAGTAAAGGAAAGTTAGAAAAGGACTCGTTCATTCTCTGGTAATCAATCAGCTCTGCGGCATTTAGGCAATTTGGTTGCTATCGCCATGCTTACACCCACCTCACTCCCTCATCAGGAAATCTTTCTTGCAGTAATTTTTTTTTTGGATGTGAACCATGAATTTCTCATATCTCAGCGAGGCATTAGACTCTTTTGTTCAAATTCGCATCTTCAAAGGCTAGCTCCCCAGCAGCCAATGTAAAGAGTTAGCTTACATTGCTTGCCAATATGTGGTACCTATCAGGTTTAACCACAAAATATCGCATTAGTCAAGACTAAGGTTACATCGAATTGAAAATAATAAAAGAAATGCTTGCTCTCACACCTAACTTCAATATTAAACCAAACAATTCACTAAAAATTAAAGGAAAGAATAGATCGTCAAAAAGCGATTTCCGAATCCATCTCAATGTTGGAAGAGACAATCATGAATCATGTAATTAGAAGTTTCTTTGTTCATAGATAAAGAAATAGGCTATCAATAAGGACATGAAAACACTTCACATCTTTTTTTATTAGAGACTTTGTCATTAGGTAGGTTATCTTTGATGAGAAGTTACAAAAGAAGCTTTAAACTTAAGAAATCACTTGATGTTCTTCATTGAAACTTAAGGGTTCTCAGCCAAAGTTTCATGCTTAAGGCCATCATTATACTGTTAAGCCTAACCGAAAATACGTACTGACAGCGAGAATCTGACATCTTCTTTACCACATTCGCAGATCGATCGAGTTGGAAGCATTCTGAATTCTGATCATCTCGAATAGAAGTATATCCTAAGTATCTAGCTGTTTTGAATACCAGTTGAGGTTGGTTGTTTAAGCTTGAGGTTAGATTCATTTTAAGTAAAAAGGAACATTAATCAGTCAAGCTATGGCATTGAAAGGAATAAAAAATTGATGAAATCGTACGTTTTAATTCCTTTTCCTTGAACCCTTTTGAGTCTTAGAGAAGCAATGTCCTAGAAATTAATTAGAAGTTTAAAAGGGTTTATCTTACTTGACATTGATATGCTTGAACCTGAAATACAGGCCGGCCTCCGTATTCTTCATATATAATCGATCTATATCACCAACTTGAATGCTAAACACATAAATAGATTTCATCAGCCAAGTCATTGTATTTTCTTTTTCCTTTTATAAACAGTGTGGATTCTTTATGACCTAAAAGGCTTTTATCATGATGTCCAAAATATGTTGGACAATATTGTCAAAAAATAACTATTATTCGAACTGAGTGAAAAAGCGTCAGGGATCCATGGTCGATCCTGCAGCCTAATACTATAGATTATGTCACTAATTAAATTAAAAAGGACCCCTGGAATTGACTTAGGTTACAAGGTTAGGTATAAATACCCATCTCTACTTTACAATCACATATAATATACGTACCATATCTCCTTCTACAAAACATTTTAGTATTCGATTCGTCTCTATCATCGTACATTCCTTTTTTTATTATTATTGTTTAATTAGTCCTTTTGCCTTAGTCAACTTCTAGCTTCCTAACTCCGGTCTTAATCATTTCCTTACCTCCTAGTTAGGTGGTGCTAATTTGTAAAAACCATACAGCTTTCAAGAGTTTAAAACTCCCTAAAATTAAGATTAATGATCAGTTGACATAAAGCCTGAAATGAGGCAAAAGCTGCCTTTTAACTCATCCAGTTGATACACAATGTTCATGATGGTTTGTGCTCATTGTCATCATTGTGAACTTGGACTTACAAAGCCATGAACTTTCTTCAATGTCAATTGCATCTTACCTTATTAATATGACAAATGAGTCTTACATCTGCCAGTAAACAAAGCCAAAAAAAAAAAGCAACACGATACTTCAATATGTATATAAACACAATTGCATTATAAATTATTAGATATGAAATCCCACACACATAATATCCAATTGATATGCGCCTTTCAAGTCCAATTCGACCCCATAAGTGATATCTTTATTTTTCTTACAGATTTTTTTTTTTTTTGGAACTCTGAAACATTCAAGAAAAAGAAAAACACTACCGCTAGTTGAAAAAATTACTTCAACCTGTATATTCTATTTTTTGATGGATACATAATCTCTCAAAACTACTGGGAGCTCTAGCAGCAAGATGTCAATTTGTATGTCGTTATTCCAAACCAATAAATTCAATATATATATATATATATATCCAGCAAGCTTGAAAAGGAATTACTTCACCAATAGGATAGGTGGTCTAAGCCCAGGAATTTTCTCATGGACAGGCTGTATGGTGTGATTGTGAAAAATGACTTGTGCTAGCTTTAGTACTTGGTCAAATGATAGTAGAAATATTATAAATCCATATCTCATGAGTAAAGCAGGTAAGTTGATATCTCTTCATGATAGCTCTTCTAACTAGATTCATGAACATTACTCAATCTTTGGCGCACCATATAATTTACTATATCATTTTACTAAGACCACCCCCAAATGGTATTCATGTCGGTGTAGGTTTACCCGTTGGACCTGTCTCAATGAGCTATCATTACCTAAAGCATACCAATAGCATTTGTTGGGACACCGTTATTTGACCAACGAATTAGGACACCATTATCCGACCATGGTACATTATTTTAGTACTTTAATTACCTGATTTGTACTTTTTTTTTATGTTTATCTTTCGTTCATTCGATGAGATCATAATTAGAATTATTTTTAAATCTAATATAACTAATCTATTAAGTCATAGAAACTAAAATGCATATAACTTATCGTTTAATATGCTATACGGAGTTAAAACAACGATAATTATTACTAATTGTCTACTTTATAAATAGGGATAATATTTTTTTATATTTATAACTGCTTATTAAAAAACTCTAATAAGAATTTTTAATACAATCGTAAAGTAGACATAATTGTTAGATTATATAACTCTTTTGTGTTGTGTGATTGTTTTTTTTTTTTTTACTTGATTCATTTACCTAACATAATAATCGATCACTTTTAAAATATGAGATTATACACTCCTTGAATCAAGGATAATATGATTATGTTATCCCCTAACCTGAGGGGAACCAATTCTCAAAACAATATACAAAATGGAAAAAAAAATGTCATCCAAGAACTCTTAGAATCATTGTTGAGGTTTTTAAAATTTAGAATTACTCTATTAATGGTGTTATTTGATCTCAAAATGGCGGCAAGTAACTTTGTCAACTAAACAGCCATGAAATTAATTATTATAGCTAGCTCGTGATATGGAAAGTTTAATTTTATTGACTGTTACTGCTTTAATCCTTTCTCCTTTACCTGTTAATAATGATCTTGTTTGACTTGCCCTTGTTGCTCATGTTAAAACAATCAATACAACTGGCGGACAAAATGTCATGTTTATATATCGGTTAAGATTGGTCAACCAATCACTGGAATCATAGCTATATGTTTACAAATTACAATCCCATAATTTTAAGAAATTAATGATTACAAGATTTTTTTTTACTCTTTATTTCATCTTTACCCCCCCCCCCTCCAAATTCTTCATTTTACATTTCATTTCTTTCTTTAAGTTTTTCTATTAATTAACTTTTTGAGCTAACGGTTTTAAATCGTATGATTAATTTGACAAGATTACAACATGTGTCAATTTTTTTTATCTGAATCTGATCCCTCAATTTTTTTTTTTAGTGAAAAAGCACATTAAAAGAAAAGAGTGAAGAAAACAATATTTTTTAATTCAAAATATCATTTATAATTTTAAATTTATATTTACTAGAATAAGCAAATTTTGAGTATAAAATAAAATATCAATAATATTTTTTTATACATCAAGAGAGTTTTATTTAAAATTTTAAACTTTTAAATGATATGTGTAAATTTTAATTATATTTAAGTGAATATTTCCAAAAAAAAAAAAAAAAAAATCTTAATAAAATTTAAACCTAACCCTAATTTGATCCTAGAGAATAATTGCAATTTGGGCTGAGACAAGTTTTCTATAATTAATTTCGACGTGAAAGTTTAACTGTGTGTTAATGATTATTTATGACATGTAATCACAATTTTGTGAAAGTTGAACGTTGCATTGATGATTATTTATGATATATATGTTTCTTGCGAATTTGGAGAAACACGTTTGTGCACAAAAACTTTTATCATTACTTGCAATAAATTTGAACACCGCTCTTCCTGATTGACGTTAATTTCATTAGTGAAAACCAATATTACGGTGTAGAAATATTAAGCCAATATTAATGATCTAAGATGTCACCATCCGATTCACGTAATGCAGAAATTTATTTTGAAAACATGAAACAATGCATTGTTTCCTAGCTAGTGCAAGCACTAATTAATTACATTGATTTATCGTCACGTTGAAGAAGAAGATCACAATTCACAAGTTGGTTAATTTGTTAAGTGTAGTTCATAATAAATGCACCAAGTCCAAGTGGGTTGAAAGTTGGAAACCTAGCTAGCTAGCTAATGTGACTTGATACTGATAACCTTAAGGTTAGTTTAGCACCATCTTGGCCGGGGTTGATAGCACCGACAGATTTGGCTCCCAAGATAGATCGATCGCAATGCATTAGTTGGTCCCGACGGACCACGTCCTCTTCCAAGCTTAATGGATCGAGGCGCAGACATTTTTGGCTGCCTTCGGTACAAAATTAGAGAGCCGCTTTCGTTACCATTGCATTGACTCACCACCTCTACCTAGCTAGCTAGCTATACTTGTACTTACGTTGCGCATCTTATGATGAAACAACGATGAAAGATTTGATTCCGGGGGCCTCTCTGGATATAGGCATATTTCGGGCACATACTTGGAATTTGGAAATGTATAGCTCGAAGGACCGGCAAGGACACGCACTGAATTGGCACTTTCCTAACTATAAATCGCTGTTTCTCGCTATCTTTTTTCAAGAAAGCACACCAAGGCTACGTTTTGAAGTTACGACTTTCACAGCAACATTGAGTTCTGGAGGTTGTGGCAGTCCTTAATTTGTACGTTAGTTTCCACATATCCATGAATAACTCACTGGAACCTAGGATGATTGAATACTTTTGGACCTTGTACGTACGTTAATCTAGTTGACCATTGCTAATTGCTCACCCTTCATTCTCTCTCTTTCAATCTATCTATCAATCTATATATCTATCTCTATGACAATACCTCTCTCCAATAATGGTGATCAGCGAGGACAGCCAGCCAATTTAAGCCTTTTGGAGGGACTCACCGCACCAATGCATGGACATGGAGGGGCCTGGAAGAGCAGCTGGATCATATGCTAGGAAATCAGATACGAGTATAGGACCCCGGATAATCTTGTTATTAAAATTCTGCCAGCTCTTCAAAAATATGACAATCAAAACCTACCCCACCACCTCTCTGATTATACATTAACTATATACCATACTGCTCACATCCCGTAAATTATATGCTGATTTATGTTTAAAATAATGATGGTGAAGTCCAACTTGGTCTGCTGTTAAAAGTTTCTGCAATTGGGAAGGGAAGTCTTGGGGATGTTGTTGCTATATATATATAAGTGGCGTACTGTGTATATAGCTTAAGCAGGCAAAAAGACAGACATGAAAATAGCATTATAAATAATATTTAATAATGATGGTTAGTTGGACACCAGCTAATTAATTGAAGATTATGACCACAAAATTAGTTTTCACTCTTCAACTTGTAAGTACATTATTTTCAACTGTCCCGAAAGCAAATACAGAAAGAAAGAAAGACAAGTACACTGAAAACAAGAAGGAACAATACAGATTAATTTTTTTTCGCTTGTAATCTGGTTAACCAAAAGAAAAGGAAAGGAAAAAAGACAATCTCAAACATTCCTGTACTATCAGCATCTCATGAATTTGTTTGAAGAGAGAGAGAGAGAGAGAGAGAGAGAGAGAGAGGAGAGGTAAAAGAATGAATTTACAGTTCATATCTGGTGGAAGGCATCAAAATTTGCTCCTGTTAGATCTTCTGACAGCGACGTTAGCCGATAGCTATTGAAATCTACTGAATTCTGATGAGTATGGAACTGTCCAGCATCATGCCATGGACTTGGCTTCAACTCTTCTGTCTTCATCCCATTGACCTGATGAAATTGAAACACCGACTCTAACTTATGATCATCAGAATCCCATGATGGGAAAGCTGCTGCATTCTCCACCATACTGTTCATCTGGTATACTGCATAATTGCTGATGTTTGAACTGTTACTGGAGCTTTCCTTTGCCTCATTCAAGAACATTGAACTCATTCTTGAAGCAGAGTTATCGGATAAATCTGTCCCACTCATGCTTCCATGGTCAAAACTTGTTAAACTTGGCATTGAAGTGAATGCAAAGTTTGAACTTGTTTCAAACTGGTTTTGATCAAGTGGTCTAACACTTGGATGATAGACAGTTGAAAAACTTGAATTATACCCTGTTGAATCAGTAGCGGCCGGGAACTCAAAGTAGGACAAAGGATCGTAAGCTTGCTTGTTGATAAATTGCTCTCTTGAAGCTTCTGTTAATCCATTGCTATTGTAAATTGTATCATTAATGAGAAATGCTGGCTCTTGTGCAGTAAAGTTTGATACAATTGGCAACCCTTTAGACTGTGGTATTTGGAAAGATGGCTTTTCTGTACAAACCTTCTCCTCTTTCATCTCCACTTGACTTAGAGGCTTGTGGGTTGTTGGGTCAATACCTTGCTTCATAAGCTTCTTCTTCAGACAGGAATTCCAAAAGTTCTTAATCTCATTATCTGTTCTTCCTGGTAGCTGTGCGGCAATTTGAGCCCACCTGCAATTAAAAATCCAAAAGAAATGAGTGCCCATTTCTATTGGTTTACCAAAAGTTTAAAGTTCTAATATATTTCTTTAGTTGATCAATATTATTGGATCAATACATACCTGTTTCCCAAAACTTCATGAAGACTGATTATGAGATCCTCCTCTTGCTGTGAGAACATTCCTCTTTTAAGGTCAGGTCTCAAGTAGTTTATCCATCTCAATCTGCAACTCTTTCCACACCTTTGCAAACCTGCAAGAATCAATTCAAACAGTATTTAATGTTAACCAAGACATTCATGAAACTCAAACACTACGAAAGCCAAAAATGTCAATGGTATTGGATCAGTTGTTACCAGCTAGCTTAGGAACAGAACTCCAGCAACCAACACCAAACCTAGTTATGTAATTGAACAGTTTCTCATCTTCTTCAGGTGACCATAAACCTTTCCTTAATTTTTGCTTCAAACAACAAGAATGTCGTCCCATTTTTGCTTAAGAGATTACAATGCTACGACAGGATGGTATCAATGAAAACTCCAAGCAGTTTCAGCAGCCACTATATAATTCGGAAGATGACCACTTGAATGGCTTACAGACGGAAAGGTGTAAAAGAGGAGTCGGTAGACGTTTAAGCCAAAGTTGTATGAGTGAAAGAAATCAAGAACTTCTTGAGGTGATTTAAAGAGAATAAGAGGAGTAAATCATACTTAGAATTGAAGTTATAATAGAGAGGGAGGGAGGGAGGGAGGGAAGGAGGCAGAGAGAGAAGAAGCTGAGGAAGGTGAAGCAATCAAGTGGTTTTTACGCAAATCTGGTGCTGCTTTTGCATTGGACTGGATTGGTTTTTAAGAAATCTCTAACTCTAGCTAGAAATATATATATATATAAAGTGATGAGCCAATTAAATGAGAACAACCTCACAAACGTGCACATTATGAGTAAGAATACAGTTACATATTTATGTCGTGTAACAATGATCATTGTCTCAATTACGTAGATCTCTTGTTTCTCAAACCTCATGTGTGGACATTAATTTAGTTACACCATCTTTACAACTCCATTTTCGTTTTTGTGTCACATAATACCGTAGCTAGGGTGAGTTTGGGTCAAATCGCCAGGGAATGTGGGCTAGCTACTGGCTGCCTTTCATTTTTTCAGGAACACCATGGGATCTCTAGTCAGTCATAGTTTAATCCGTCGATTATAAAAAATCTAATCATTCTTCTGATTCTGAAATCTTTTTTTATTGATTGTTGTGCCACTTAATTAATTAAATCATTCTGAAAAGTTACAATGCAAAAGCCATTCGGGAAAATTGTATAACTATTAAAGTAAATGAATTTCTTCTTAGACACTCGGGACAGAGGGAGAGAATACAACCATTTTTTTTAGCTAGCTAGTTACCTACTCACAGACAGAGTTAATTCTCTTCTAGTAAAGGCTACCCACAACATCCGTGCGTTTACACAGAATCTTGCATTCAAGAAATTGCGAACGGCATGTTTATAAAAAAAAGAAAAATCAGGGGTCATTTCCCTTCACCATAAATTACCAGCTATGAAAATCATGGGTTGAAGTTTCGTCACTTTTGTTTTCGGACATGTTGGCCTAGGAAAGGGCCTGTAAGAAGTTTCCGTAAAAAATCAGGGTGCATTTATGCTTGCTTCACTGTGCATTTAGAAATCATTGAAATTCTGTACTTCAAATCTTCCGTTTCACTGTTCAAAAAAAAAAAAATCAACTCCTTTTTTTTTTTTTTTTTTTAACAGATGAATATTATAACAAGATTAGGAAGACGACCGACAGCAGTGCATCAATTTGTGTGGGCTCCATGCATAACATATTTGACTCTTAATGAAGGAGCTAGTGCCTTTGATTTCGGTAAGAAAATCTTCTAGAAAGAAAGAGAGACAAAAGGAAAAGGCGGAAAATGAGAGACATATATATTTTCTTTTTTATTTTTTGGAATCCCCCAGATCACAGTAATCAAACATTTTTAGACTTGAAGAGAAAAGAGGTTTCCTTTAACAATTATCTAAATAAAATAAAGAATGACTTACAAACATCATACTGCGACAGATATTAAGGTGTGTGTATATATATATATATATATATATGATTTGGACCGAAAGAACGGCTTTCTCTTAACAATTGCTATTTTATGGTAAAATAGATATATGAATCAAAGAAGGATCATTAAATTAGTCTAAACCATGCATCACATGTTCCCAAAGAATCCTTAATTATTTGCTAACTTGTACCATCAAATACTCAACGATTTTAAATTTGGAAAAGAATATTATAATAACAACAGCATGTGCTGTTGATAAAAGGGTTATCTTGAAATTAACACAGCTTTTCTTACTCGTTCTAAGATTGCTAAACCAATTGTACTTCTTCTACGGGTTTCTGGGTATAATAATAATAATAATAATCTGTTAGTGCTTGTGTGAAATCATTTTAATTTTTAACTTTTTAGTTTTTAGTTTTTTTTATTATTATTTTTTAAACAACATGTGAAATTTGGTCATTTCTAGATTTTTACATTATATATCAGCATATGAATTATGTCGAGCTTGAGACGTTGAGTAATGGAAGCAGATCATGTCCAACCAAGGACCTAGATACATAGGGTCAAGTCGCCTTGTGGTTGGGTTCAAGGAAGAGATCGAGCTTGGGGTCGGAGTCAAAATAGGAGTCGGATTTAGGTACTTGAGGGTTGGATCAGGTTAAAATAGGATCTGAAGCCCTTGGGGATTAAGGCTGAAACGAGGCTTGAGGTGTCGAGATTGTGGTCGGAGAGGCCCAATCTAGTGCATCTTGGGTTAGGATCAAGTTCGAGGCGCTTGAGGTTAAGCCCAAACCAAATTCGATGCACTCATGGTTAGGTCAAGATCGGATTCGAAAGCTTTCGAGGCCAAGCCAAGACCAAGTTTGTTTTGCTTTAGGATCAAGTTAGGTCGGGTGTAAGGATGACACCAAGTTTGCAACTCGCTAAGATTAGGGTTGGGAGTCGATTTGAAGCGTTAAAGGTTGAGTAATAATCGAGATCAATGCGCTCAAGGACTAAGTTACGTTAAAAAGCTATCTCAATTCAAAAGTTTAAGTTGTTTGGTGATGTTTAAAAATATTTTTATATTACTTAACTAACACATTTCCTTCATTAGAAAGCCCTTTGGGTCGGTTTGAAACTTGCATACATTATTAGAATTTTTCTATTGTTATTTGTCAAAAATTCGTCACTATATGCAATTAGTGACAGATTAAAGACAGCATGTCTTTCGTTGTTAGTATGGTGCTTGTTATTTTTTTAACAACCGAATATTTCTTTCATCGCTAATCGGCGATGGAATATCCATCACTAAATTGTTGAATTTCCATTATTAAATCGATCTAAATCAGTCATCTATAATGTTTCATATCCATCTTCATACTCGTCGTTATTATCACTTAAATCCATCACTAAATAGCATCAAAATCAATTATCGCAAATTATAGTCACTAATGTCATTGCAATTGCATCTCTAAATCCATCGCTATTCAGCTATTGTATGTGTATCCATCATTAATTACGCTCTCCATTTTGTTGTTAAATATGTTGCTAATTAAAAAAAAAATCAATAGTTGTTTATTGATAATTGTAATAACAAATAATTATAAATAATACCTTATTAAAACACGATATATTATTTTAAAAAAATTAAAATAAATATATAAATGGGTTAAGATGTACAAAACATTTAAAACTTTTTTAACTAAAAAAATTCAGTCATCATTATCACCATCTCCTACATCATCTTCCGATTGTTGGTTGTTACGAGAAAAGACTAACTATTAGGTTATAGGAGGGTTACCAAGAGGGACGAAAGGTGGTTAGAGGTGCTCTAACAACTTCATAACTCTCTACAACTAAGTCTCGCTTGATACTAACTTGATTGGCCTATTGCTGGATGGTAGCCTCCATCCCTTGGATCATATCTTCGTACTAGGCGAAACCTCTTCGATATTACTATTAGTATACTGCTATGTGGTAGAGGAGGAGTTGGCACTAGAATGTGAGTAACACCGAGACACATAAGTTTTGATACCATTCACCTTTTGCTTCTTCTCCCTTCCAACAATATCCAAATATATCTTGAACATGTCGATATCTTGAGACAATGCATCACCCTCTAGTTACTCTTTAGTTACTCGCTTCTTGTATTGACTGCATACTCTCCTAAGTCATTAAAATAATTATAATGTTAAATTATAAATATATTTTTAGATTATATAAATAGATGTATATATATATTTAAAAAAAAAACATAAAATTTTACCATTCGTTGTCTACAACCGCCTATCGACGAATGTAACATCCTTCCACTTGTGAGTAGTCATGAACAATTTATAAAGATTTGAGTTACTATTTTATTTATTATACTAAAAAAATAAATAAAATAAATGCAAAAATTAATTTATAGCACAATGGATAATATAGTATTTACCAAACGTTCGGCGTGTTCAATCAAAGAAATGGACCCTCCAATATGCTTAGATGGGTCGAGATCGACACCACCCATCTTCGACATGTGGTTTCGAGACATCTCGCTAAGATCGAGCTTGATACTCGAGAGTGGCCCAATATCGATGTCATGCTTCCCACACATCTTGTTTAACAAAAACAGGTCCGTTGCTCTTATGCTATAGCTCTTTAAGCATGTTACTCGTACCGTCTCCGTGTCGGACTCTCCCAAGCATCCTTAATCGAGTGTGTCAATTGCTACATCCCATAAAAAAGTACTTCTACATGAAGGAAAAAATAATATTAATACTTTTTATGTTAAATTAATACTTTAAATGAAATATAAGCAAATAATTAATATGTTATCCTAAACTCATTAAAGTAAAAGTCTTTCATTTTCATGGAGACGGACTTCTATATGGAACTAACGATGTCCAACCACTTCTTGAAAATTATAATAATTTTTGTAGAACACTTGCTTGATGGAATCAAATTGTCGAACAAAAAAATAAATAATAAATATCTGATCTAATGATTTTAATATAATTTATAAAACTATAAAACTAATTATTGCATGTAAAACATATTTAGTTACCAATTATTCATGACCTAAATGGTTTATCCATCATTAGATCCAAGTAGAACTTTTTGAAGTTGAGAAAACTATAATGGGATCATCCAAAGTAGGAGGCACTACTAGTCGAGCTCTACTAGTGAAGGCACTATTAGAGGGGATGCGGATGTGTCGACTCCACTATTAAGTTCGCTACCTTAGACAATTGAAATAATAGGGCCATGTCCACGTACACCATTATTGTGACGCCCCAACTCCCTTATCAATTACCTAAGAGGCGTGGCTAGGTGCGTTACAGCTTAGAGACTAAAATCTTGATTTACTCTCATAATACATGGCCAATAAATAATAACATATTAAGTATAGAAGTACGTACAATAAAATTTACACAAATTTATTGAATACCGT